GGGGCGCGATCTTGGGAAGAATTGACATGATTTTTGAGGAAAAAAATGAAGAAAATAAGAAGTCATTCTTAGCTTAAAGCTCATTGATGAGGAGGTTATTTACTGACAAATCAAATACCTTTGAGTTCAAGTATTTGTCAGTTTTCAAGCATTTTTTATTAATTTAATGTGTTTTTGTAAGAATCATTAATAAATGGGAAATTAGGTGAAAACAAGGAAAAATTAGGAGGTTATTTATCGACAAATCAAGTACGTTGGGCAGGGGCTGGGCGCGCCAGCAGCGCCCTTCCCTGTGCGTGCATGCCCTGGAGTACCTGTGCTGAAACGAGTATTTTGGGCCTTTTTGGCCCTTGATCAATGTTGGGAGGCTATTTTTGACCCTTGGATGAGTGTGGTTGAGATTTTCTTCATGTTTGAGCATACTTAAACAAAATGTTTGAGCATTCTTAAACAAAAGAAACCAGTTCCCAACTTAGAGAGGGTGAGAGGCACAAAAATTCTTAGATAGAGAAGCTTGGAGTTCGAGATTCTTGAAAAATGCTTAGGAGAAATTCTTGAAGATTTAAAGACTTGAACTTCATCTCCACAAGAGTTTTCTCTTCCTTTTCCCTTTTCTTTGTAGTTTTTTAGTTCTTGAATTTGTGATTTTGTTATGGATTCCTCTATGTTGAGCTAGATTTCATATTCTAGGGCTTGATGTAGCTTATCTAAACTATTTTTTAATTATCTTGTTAATTGTTAGTTAAATTTCATTTTAATTTATTTATGTTTCTCTATGCTTAATGTTTCTAATTTATGTGGTCAATGAGTTAGATAACTTTAGATTGTGATTTTGATGCTTGTAAGAGATTGATTTTATAGTCCGGAATTGAAAAACATAGGCTTGGTTGTTGTGAGTCCAGAAGGAGATCAATACTTAAATAATCTCGTTGAGAGTCTAGGATTGTGAGACTGAGAGGTGATCAAGACCTTAATTATCGACTAAGATTTCGATTGTCGTGAGACTGGGAGGCGATCGACATTTGAGTTCTAATTTAAGGGTTAAACTGAATGAGTCTATGAGTAAACAGGTTAGATTAGGAATATTGATTCAGGTATTCATGCATATAACTTCGTTTGACACTTGGGAGAGGTAACGAGGGTAGATTAGGTCCCTCGATTAATGAATTGAGTGGGGCAAGCATTGGCTTGATAGAATGAACATAGGAATGATAAGGTGAAGTCAAGTCTTTAGTACATTTGTACATAGAAGTTTTCATGTTTTATTTTGTTTTTGTATTTATATTTGTCCTAGTTCTATTTTTATTTCATTGAGTTCGGTTGCATCGATAAAGTTGAGTTACGATAATCACCATATTTAGAGGTAATTTAATACTTAATTCTTGTAGAGACGATACTCACTCACAAACTATTCTATCAAAACTTGATACCGTACGCTTGCGAGCTTACACTCATATGGAGGGTTTAATTTAAAATGAGAAAATATTATGTTTTTGTCATAGGCTTCCTCTTTGCGATTCAATTTTTATTTTTGTTTTGATTGCTTTTGGTTTCTTGTTTATATATTTATCATTCTTTTGTTTGATTCTTTTTTAGACAAAATTTTTGCTTATAAAAAAATTCAGTAAAATAAATTAAAAGCGAAATCAGAGGAACCTTGGGGGCTTACAATTCCCAATTGCAAAAACGAGCACTTATGAACAAAAGAGTTATATGAAAGAAAAAACCTGTATGGGAAAAACCATCGAGAACTTGCTAAAGATTAAAGTAATGTTTGTTTCGTATATTCGTCTTTAATTTTGAATCATGATTCATGATTCTCTACAGTATTTTTCTCTCATAAAAAACACACGTAAAACAAAAATAGTTTTGAATTACAATTCTGAATCCATGAACTAAACGTCCACTAAAAGATGGCCCAATAAAACCATCGTAAAACCTCAAGAAGTTGAAAAGAGTGCATATGATCTTTCTTCAGACTTTTCCTTGAGTTTTGCTAGACAAGGGTTTTAACGAAATAACCTCTCAATTAGTCTATTAATTAAGACCATACATAGATTCTTTAATTTCTATTGGGTTTGCGTCCTTAGCATTTTCTATGTTTATCTCTCTTATCCTTTATATATCGTTTATTTTTATGTTTTATTCCATAAGCCCTGGGGCGTTGAACTCCTATCTTAAAAAAATAAATAAATAATGAAAAAATAATCTAAAGGAGATTTTGGTACAAAAAGTCTCTGAAATCCTTAGTAGATGATAAGTTAATGGACATATTAATTATCTTTTTATTTTGGCAATTGAATTTCTAAATTACTTAAAAATGTTGGAAATGATAGCGAAGTTAAGTATCCGTTTGGTTTATGTCTTTAAATTAGTGATTCTAATTCATTGACATAAACTTTATAAGAGGAGAAATTTTTAAATTTAAATTTTTTATGAGACAAAAAAATACTGTAAAAGAATTAGAATCATAATTTAAATATATGTACCAAATGGGACTAATAGTATACCAACCTTAAAGTCTCCTTATTTTCCTTATTTGAGTAGAGTTACTTTGTTATGAAAAAGTAGAAAGTTATTTATTGGGGCCGCACCCCCACAGGAACAATTTTCTCAGTTCATACTAAGTATTAGTGAATCTTATTAGAATCTTAAAATATATACTAATGATTCATGGCTATATATTCTTTTGGGGAGTCGTTGCATTTATATGTATCTTCTTTAATTTTTCTATTTAAGTAATGAGAAGATAAGATAATATAGTTTATTATCACATCCATTTACATTTGCTGCATGGGGTTATTAACAACTTTATTTTATGAAGTTGTTTATAGTCTCCCAATTTAAAAATGGGGAATAAGTCTTCTATGCGCCATCATAACGGCCCCATGTGTCAATTGAAATTAACTGGAAGTTTAGCGTAATTTTCTTATGTATAATAACAGTTACTATTTTAAAAATTAGAAGTCGATTTTAAACCTATAGTAATAAATGACTGTCATGCACACCTGTTATGAGTAATTGTATGAAAAAAATTAAAAGACACATCAATAAACGACAATCATTTTTACTGTTAATATAAATCATTTCATCATAACCCATTTCGTTTTAAACCTGAATAATATTATTGTAAAGAATTACAGCTGTCATGTTCTTTTTTTATAAGCGCATCTGGTCATGCATGAATATTTATTTAGAGCAGCATATGAAAGTATTTATTTTTCTATATGCTTAAAAATGACTTCTGGTTCTTAAAACATTAACTGTTACGTCTTAAAACCAGAGACTTACGCTAATCATTTGACCGGTTATGCTATTCTTTAATCTATTACAATGGGGAAGTTTCTCTCATAAAAAGGGTGAGGATCATAGAAAAAGCCACATATATATAATAAGACTTTTTGGGGTCTCATCTGTGTGTGTGTGTGTATATATATATATATATAAATTAAATTCTTTAAATAAATTAATCAAAAGGCAAGGTTACGGTGCAAAAGGAAGAGATAATAAATTAATCATACATGTCTAAAATATTGGTAAAAATTTTTACGTTAGTCTTGCTGTGCCAAGGTTACATATTTTTCACTGAATACAACTTAGATGTAAAGATTCTTTTATAATTTTAATAGGGTTGTAATAAGCAATAATAAAGATTTAAAATCAAATTAATATAGATATATTAAGAAAAGGGTGTGTAAAAAGTTAAACGAGGTGTCAATAAACACACTCAATTTATATATATATATATATATAT